TTGTCCAAGCCTTTGAAAAGCAGCACGCTTATGCAAACCGCCCAGCCCTGCCAGACACGCCTAGGCTGGCCAAAGCATATAGACAGGGCCTGCTTGATTCTAACTATGGCCAGTCTATTTCCTTTCCATCGACATACAAATGCTGTTTTCGCCTTGAAGTGCCCGTGTGGAGTGATGTAGACAATGCACACTCCCCTCCTGAAAAGACCAATGCGTCCACGACTCTGGCTCAGCCTGTCCTGCCAGCTGTAGAAAATGTGGCTCAGCCGAGGGGACAAGGGCCCCCAGAAGCAGATCTGACTGCTGCTGATGATGTAGAAGAAATTGAGCGTGACGAAGAAACGTACTTGGTTCCTGCAGGGTACGGATGTTTCTCGTTTCGGCAAGGACTACTCAACCGTGCTGCACGCGCGTATGAAGTCCAAAGTGCAGGCAACAAGTACGAAGTCATTGCGGCCTGGCTTCTTGAAGGCCTGGCTGTCACGGTCTCTCGAACAAGTTGGAACATTCTCTCTACGGCGAGAAAGTGCACGATGACTGACTACTACTTGCTCCAGAACTATATTTCACCCAAGGCTTCCCGTCTGGGGTCCCCAATGATGAGCAGCGCCCCTATCTAGTGCCACGCCCAAACACGCTCTACAAGAACGCGTGGGTGGATGCCATCACTCGCATCACACGCGACCCAACCTATTGGGGCTACACGGGAAGATTTTGCCGCGCTGGGGAAACCACTAACTTCCTTGCAACAATCAACCGAATCAACCCTGTCGTTGCAGAGCCAGATCCAGTCAATGCAACTGGAGCTGCTGCGGACACAGCGGACACGGAAGTGATTGCATCGGACACTGCTAACGAGAGCAGCTCGACCTCCTCTTCGTACAGTGTGCGCCACGTGGTAGCACCAGAGCAGGCAGCGGAGGCGGAGAGCACAGACGCACATTAAATTGGCTGTGACATGTGTTCCTGCAGGCGGTGTCCTCAGACACTGTGCTGACGGTAGCCAAAGCTAATCCTGGCAGCCTTGTCTGCAGCTTCAGCGGTCATTTTGGCCCGTTAGGAACCTGTGAAAATCATCTGTGTCTGTTTGACACTCTCGGACAAACATGCGCAAACACGCACAGCCCGCGTCTCAGTGACCAGGAGGGAGGAGATTGTAGTGGGGTTGCTTTCTTTTCAGCAGTAACCGATGGAGGATAGCGCCTTCAATGCCGCAGCCCTGGAAATGGTGAGACAGAGAATGACCTTTACTATCTCACCTCCACCACCATAGCAGGTAATGACATTGAGGTTGCAGCGCCAGTCAGTATCCATCATTGCTGGGAGATGTTAGAGGACTTCCTAGTCGAACAGCTCCCTGAGGTGAGTCAATATAGACTTTGGCTGCGAGATAACTCTCTTGCACCCGCAGACTCACGAAGCTCTTTGTGGCCCAATCCAGGACACCCTTTGGACGGCTACGCACTTTCACCTTGTAGTGCAGCAGAACTTCCAAACCTACGATCGCAAGCGCCAAATCCAAGGAGAAGAATATGAAGAGTATCCCAAGGCTGTGTGGATCCCAGCCAACGCCGCGGGCGTTGTCCCGGCCAATGCCTTCTCATCGGTGCCGCGGTTGCGACGCGTCTGGGCAGAGCCTACTCTGCACACTGTTGAACGGGAGGCATGGCGAAATTGCTACCAATTGCAAATTGTCAAGCTACCGAGCACAGTGGTGTCAATACAACACGCTGGTGTCCGCCCTTTTCCGCTGGCGATGTAGCATTTCTATTCATTTGTTTCCCAGGTCTGTCACTGGTGGTGTCCGCCCTTTTCCGCTGGCGATGCAGCATTTCTGTTCATTTCTTCATTTGTTTCCCAGGTCTGTCACTGGTGGTGTCCACCCTTTTCCGCTGGCCATGTAGCACTTCTATTCATGGTCTGTCACTGCTGGTGTCGTTCCTTTTCCGCTGGCCATGTAGCACTCCTATGCATGGTCTGTCACTGCTGGTGTCCGCCCTTTTCCGTTGGCCATGTGGCGTTTCTTCTATTCAGTTGTCTACCAGGTCTGTAGCTGCTGGTCTCCGCCCTTTTTTGTTGGCCATGTAGCGTTTCTGTTCACTTGTCTCTGAGGCGTGTCACTGCTGGTGTCCGCCCTTTTCCGCTGGCGATGCAACATTTCCATTCATTCCCCAAACAGTTTGCCGTTACGTAGGGTTTCTCAATTCTTTCTGAAGATGTGTCCGCCGTTTGTGTCACTGCTGGTGTCCGCCCATTTCCGCTGGCCATGCAGCGTTTCAATTCGTTCGTCTTCAAAGTGAATTCTTGACTTTTGTCTTCCAGGTCTTGTGCCTGCACTGCTGGTGCCCGCCCTTTTCCGCTGGCCACGCAGCATTTCTACTCATTTGTTTCCCATGTGGTTTGTTCACCTTTGTTCGGTGCCTGCGCTGCACTGCTGGCGTCCGCCCTTTTCCCTTTTCCAGCATTTCCATTCATTTGTCCCCCAGGTGATTTCTGTACTTACCCAAGCAGGTTTGTTAGGGGTTCTAAATGCTTTCTTGTTTCCGGACAGCGTGTCCGCCTTCCGTCCGGCTTGTCTCCTTGGTCTCCCTTCTTGTTGAACACTGTGTTCCCCCTTCTTCTCGCTTGCAACCCTTCATACATTTGTCTCCCAGCTCTGGGCTGCGTGTCGCTTGCAATCCTTTACATTTGCCTCCCTGTGTCTCCCAGCTCTGGACTGCTGTGTTTGCCTCTGCCTTGCAATCCTCTACATTTGTCTCCCAGCTCTAGGCTGCTGTGTCCGCCTCTGCCTTGCAATCCTTTACATTTGTGTTGCAGCGCTGGGCTGCTGTGTCCGCCTCTGCCTTGCAATCCTTCATTTTACATTTGTCTCCCAGCTCTGGACGTCGCAAGCTCTATGTTTCCCTTCTGTTCCGATTTTTAAAGCCTAAGGGCACATCATTTGCATCATAACAAAGATTTGATATGGTTGGGGTATTGTTAGGCTAGCTAATTTTTCACCAAACAGTTTGCTGTTAGCGGTTTCTTAAGATGTGTCCGCCCTTTGTGTCACTGCTGCTGTCCGCCCTTTTCCGCTGGCCATGTAGCATTTCTATTCATGTGTCTCCCAGGTCTGTCGCTGCTGCTGTCCGCCCTTTTCCGCTGGCCATGTAGCATTTCAATTCATTTGTCTCCCAGGTCTGTCGCTGCTGGTGTCCGCCCTTTTCCGCTGGCCATGTAGCATTTCTATTTATTTGTCTCCCAGGTCTGTCGCTGCTGGTGTCCGCCCTTTTCCGCTGGCGATGCAACATTTCCATTCATTCCCCAAACAGTTTGCCGTTACGTAGGGTTTCTCAATTCTTTCTTAAGATGTGTCCGCCGTTTCTGTCACTGCTGGTGTCCGCCCATTTCCGCTGGCCATGCAGCGTCTCAATTCGTTTGTTTTTAAAGTGATTTCTTTACTTTTGTCTCCCAGGTTCGGTGCCTGCACTGCTGGTGTCCGCCCTTTTCCGCTGGCCATGCAGCATTTCTTTTCCTTTGTTTCCCAGGTGATTTCTGTCTTTCCCCAACAGGTTGTTGTTACAGTAGGGGGTTCTAAATGCTTTCCAAGAGTGTCCGCCTTGCTGCCGGACAGTGTGTCCGCTTTCCGTCCGGCTTGTCTCTCTTTGTTTCCCTTCTTGTTGGTCACTGTGTCCACCTTGTCTCTCTTCATTCTTTCTTCGTCTCCGGTCTTGTCTCCCTTCTTGTGGGTCATTGTGTCCGTCTTGTCTCCCTTCTGTTTCCTTTTGTTTCCCTTCTTCTTGATCATTGTGTCCGTCTTGTTTCCGTCTTGTCCCTCGTGTCTCCCTTCTGTTTCCTTGTTGTCCCCCTTCTTGTTGGTCATTGTGTCCGCCTTGTCTTCCTCTTTCCTTTACATGTGCCTCCTCTCTCCCCCTCTCGCTTGCAACCCTTCACATGTGTCTCCCAGCTGCTCTGCCCTGCAATCCTTTACATTTGTCTCCCAGCTCTGGGCTGCATGTCGCTTGCAATCCTTTACATTTGCCTCCCTGTGTCCACATTTGTGGGCTGCTGTGTCCGCCTCTGCACAATCCTTTACATTTGTCCCGGCGCCGGGCTGCTGTGCCCGCCTCTGCCTTCCAATCCTTAATTTTACACTTGTTTCCCTATTTGCAGAGTGTTCCGATTTTGAAAAACACAAACTGTTTGGGGCCTACGGTGGTGTAATTCCAATGTCTTGGCTGGGCTTGGGTTGGGCTAGCTGTGTTTTCCAATTGAGGTCTTCCGCAGTTTAGCAGGGGGGACAAACAGCGCCAGCGGGTTTCCTAAATTAATTTTTCACCAAACAGTTTACTGTTGGGGGTTCTCAATTCTTTTGTAAGATGTGTTTGCCCTTTGTGTCACTGCTGCTGTCCGCCCTTTTCCGCTGGCCATGTAGCATTTCTATTCATTTGTCCCCCAGATCTGTCACTGCTGGTGTCCGCCCTTTTCCGCTACTGACCTGCGGCAGTTCTGGAATGGACCTTTCCTGGTGTTGCCACAGCCCCATAAAGAAGCCGATGAAGAGGTGGTGAGAACTTTAGACAGTTGGCGTGATCATCTTGGACGCAGGGAGGTGATGTTGGCTGGAACACTTGTGTGATGCAATGTGCTCACTCTCAAGCAGGACTATGTCTCAGCCTATGCTGCTTTGAAAGCCTCCTTCTTGGTGGTCAGTGTGTCCGCCTTGTCTTGCTTCTGTTTCATTTTGTCTCCGGTCTTGTCGCCCTTCTTGTTGATGCCTTAAAAAGTGGACTTGGGAATGCTGCTTCGTTGTTGTCCCACCTGTTTGAGGTCTACGGTGGTGTAATTTTTGTTTTGAACGGCGCTTGTTTCCAAGAGATTCTTGCTGGCTTGCCGACCTTTCCATTTCTCCAGTGAGCGGTGTCCACATGTTTGCTGCACGAAACAATTATATAGCTCGAAGTTCAATGCAAGGCTAGCGAACTTTGAGGTTAAGTGGGAGAGACATCTGGAAACAAGCCATGGCCGGCGCACTGGTGTACATCATACATGCGGTGGCTGTAGCAGGCGAAAGTGTACCGACAAACATGTTGCTGATCGGCGGCTTTGCCAAGTGCGGCACATCACATCTCCACAGAGTCCTGGCCGATCATCCGAAAGTCTTCGCCTTGCGGAAAGAGCTTAAACCTTTGCCCGGAAAACACCAGATGTTTGAAGAGGTGATTTTCTTCTATGCGCGAGAAGTTGCACGCGTTGATGTTAGCAGCCCGGTGCTAATTCGAGACGCCTGTCGCAACAATTTCAACGATAATGAATCCAAACAAGAATGTTTGCGTGCTCTACCAGGTAAAGATGATTCGTTGCCTGCAAAAAAAGATATTGCTCCAAAGATATTGCTGTTCACACACATCAACTTTCACCGGGACCCTGTGCTGATGGAACGATGGGGCGCCACAGTAAAAACCATCTACCTTGTGCGAGACCCTGCAGAGTATTTGTGGGCAGCTTTCAACTATTGGAGAACTGACTTGGATGCCAATTCTGCACAAAAAACGAGTGTTGGCAACTTCTACCGGAGCCCCGAGTTGTTTCATGAGTTGCTTCTGGCAGATGGCCTTCTCAAATGGAAGATGGGCTTGAACGGCCGAACAGGTGAGTGGTTCTTTCTTCTACAAAATGAAACGACTTCTTCTTCTTTAAAAGAAAAAGAACGACTTCTTCTTCCGAAATTTCACCTCCTTTTGCGCTCGGAAGATCTTCTGGATCCACATCTCACGGCACTGGCCCTTGGAAAAATCAGCTCTTTCACCGGATTGAAGGCGGAAGACTTCAACTCCTCCTCTTTCAACACCCGGACCAATGCAGGATATTCCGCGTCTTCGAAGGGAATTCTGACAGTGAGTGAACAAACAATGGTGCAAAGCGGAGTCTATGAGCTTTCTGGTTACCGGCCAATGCTTTGCAAGACCCGGATCTTCATTTACCAAAACTACAATGCAGTTTGCCAGGTGTTGGCTGCCAGCAGTTTGCCAAGAAATGTAATTTTTTCTTAAAGCCGGACTCACTCAACGGGTTTCGTGTTTTGGTTGTATGTTGAAAATCTCTTGTTTATGTTGTATGGAACTACTGCAAAGAGATGCTTGTCAAGATCCAAACTCTTGTTGGTCGGTTCCCTTGGCACGTAAGGATACGATGTCACCTACACCGCTTGCCTGTCAAGCACTGGCAAGGAAGCATGCGCAGAAGACGGACCTCGCGAAAAGAAGTTCATCATCCCGATCTTCAATAGGTGTGACGTGGATTTGACAATGAAGCTTTGCACGGTGCTTTTGATCCTAGCATTGGCAAAGTCAGGACACGTTTGATTGTTTTGTTGGGTTCCTAAACAAACAGACGTGTGATCGAACCTGTAATAAGGGGGTTTGGGTAACTCCATTCAAGAGGGGAGTTTTTCTTAGAAAAAGACCGTTTCTCTTAGTTTGGCAAGACATTGGTGATGCGCAAGTGAGGATTGTGTTTTTTGTATGCTTTCTTCACCGATACAACAGACGTGGCTGACTCAAGTTCTAATGGTTGACCTCGCAGAACTCACACAATTCCCCGCGCGCCGAGAGAGAAAGAAGCTGCGGATGATCTGGATGAAAATGTCGGTTGCAGAAAACTCGTTTTGCAACGGTACGATGCCCAGTCTGTAGTCCAAGTGACCAAACCGCACCTTGAACCACGACTGTGCCACGCACCTGTTGGCGTTTGGCTGCCGTCCTAAAAGAGGTCGCTTGATTCAGACTTTTGGGCACCAGATCATCTAAAGGTTTAGTAGTAACAAGAAGCTATTAGAAACAAGTGCATCGCTTCTAGTAACAAGTGCCACGCTAGTAGGAACAAGTGCCTTACTAGTAGTAACAAGAAGCTACTAGGAACAAGTGCCACGCTACTAGTAACAAGTGCCTTACTAGTAGAAACAAGAAGCTACTAGGAACAAGTGCATCGCTACTAGTAACAAGTGCCTTACTAGTAGTAACAAGAAGCTACTAGTAACAAGTGCCACGCTACTAGTAACAAGTGCCTTACTAGTAGAAACAAGAAGCTACTAGGAACAAGTGCATCGCTACTAGTAACAAGTGCCTTACTAGTAGTAACAAGAAGCTACTAGAAACAAGTGCCACGCTACTAGTAACAGGTGCCTTACTAGTAGAAACAAGAAGCTACTAGGAACAAGTGCATCGCTACTAGTAACAAGTGCCTTACTAGTAGAAACAAGAAGCTACTAGGAACAAGTGCCACGCTACTAGTAACAAGTGCCTTACTAGTAGTAACAAGAAGCTACTAGTAACAAGTGCCACGCTACTAGTAACAAGTGCCTTACTAGTAGTAACAAGAAACTACTAGTAACAAGTGCCACGCTACTAGTAACAGGTGCCTTACTAGTAGAA